GATCGTATTACTTGAAAATATTTTAAAGCATTTTTAATTTTTATGGGATTTTTAATCGATATAAAAATTGGTAAATAGATGATTACAAGTAAAATAGATATTTTAATCTGCTTATTCCCTGGATCCAAATAATTAAATATAACCTGGCAACTATGTAACGATTTCAACTGTCAGAACTAGCCGGAACAGGAATGGTGCGCACAGGCGCATTTCCAGACCCTTCAACTACAACATAACCCTAATGTAAATGCCATCAGGATAGCTATTCACTAAGTCATGGGAGCGCTCCCATGGGAGTGCTCCCATATATTTTGCTCTCTTACTCTTAGGTGGGTATATCGTGCTTACTCATTTTTAGCCCAGGTACATGCGTAGTAAGGTCAGATTTTATACTATGGGAGGGAGAATTGCGGGCTTGCCAGATTAGCTCCGTATTTATCACAAAGCAAATTTGAACTACTAAGGGCCGATTCCACCGTTGAGTTAAACGGAGATTAAAATGACATTGTTAATGTAAAAATGTCATTTTAAACTTCGTTTAACACAACGGTGGATCGGTCTTTAAATAGTAGATCAAAGTTATTCTGTCGACTTGGCAACGTTGGCATGGGAGTATGGGAGTGTGGGAGTGCTCCCATGAGTTAGAGAATAGGTATCCTGTGCTACTTTCTTTGTTCTTCATTTCTCTTATAGTTCTTCTCCATACTATCACCGCCCGAAACACATCTCCTGTTGACAATGTTCTTCTCCGATACAAATGAAGCGCTGTTGCCACGTAGACTTCCAATTATGAACATATATGACAAAGCCCGTATATCTTCGTCTGCGCGAGTTTTCACTGTCAGTTATTTAAAAAGTACTTTCTGCATGTGTGACGTAACTGTTTTCAATTTATTGCTATGCTAGCGATCGGGCTGTTGTATGATGTGCTCGGACGGAATATAGTCCATTGAGTTGAATCAGTTACTTGCATTATTGGTCGAGTCTTGTAATAATATATGTTCTCTCTTCTGTGGAATAACATGACGTGATTTTTTTCGTCTACATCAAATTACATAATGATAAATAATTTATGTACAGTTCATCAAATTTCTAGAGGCTTTCGACGGCTAGACAGAGAAAGCACTACTGACAGGCATCCCGACGGATTTACGCAATGAAAGTACACTCTGCGCATCAAGTATTTCACTATTTCATTCAGACGTAAATGTCAGATGTAAATTTCGCTAAAACATTTCTTTTATTTTCGTTTGTGTTTTTTGCTCATTACAGTTTAATAGAACCTAAGTATGGAGTTTAATAGCAAATTAAGAGGCCGCGTGATTAACAGTCAATCTCGCGAAATAATAGCCAATGTTATAGAGTTTATGAGAAGAGAAGGAAACTTTAATTCACCTTCAATACCATTTAAAAATGTAAATGATCGTGTTGCTGCAGCCACAGGAGTATCTAAAAACACTGTCGTCCGCATTTCTGGAGAGAAAAAAAGAATCGATAACCGTGAGATATCGGAATTGTCATCACCAAGAAAAACCATTAAAAAACCAAAAACAGTTAATGATATAGATGAAGCTGCACAAGAATCAAATTTTATTTTTTTATTATTAGATAGCTATTTTTGTTTCTGAGTTGTGTTCATTTACAGGCTCAATTTTTTTCCGTTTCTCCTTTTTGATTTTATATGGGGTTTCAAGTTGTTTTTGACTTATTTTGACGTAAATCACAACAACACACTTTTTTAATAAAGCAAACAAGTGTTAAGAGGTATATGTACGTGTAAACTACAATTACTAAAAATTGATATGAAACCCATGAAACCACCAACAAAAATGTAAAGCTAGCTTCCGTACTAGAACATGGTGTCATTCGTCGAGATAATTTATCGTTTTGTTTAATAGATCAAGAAATGTAAATATTCCCCTGTTATTTTTTATAAAATTATAAGAGAAATAAATTTTTTTCTAAATAGTATAGTTTATTATTTTGTAGAAAAACAAAATTTCGAAAATTTTAGTAATGTTTCAGAAACAACCGTTATTAATAATAGGTACCATTTTCCTTAATAAGGTAGAAATAAAATATAAACTATTTCCACGATTTACAAAGGCCTACAAAAAAATTATAGGTATTTTCCGCTATCCTATAAAATTTATATTTTCTGACTCAATTTCAAAAGGTTGAAGGAATTCCAAAACACCTTTTATGGCTAATAATTATTTTCAATTCTACATACTATCTTTAGCTGCTTAATCCCTAAACTATTCCACACTTTTAAAATTTAATTACCTAAAAATATTAAAAACTATTTAAAATAACTTGTTTAGCAGACTGTACAATAGCTATCTTAGTCACAAGTAGCGCGTTCTCTGTCTGGGCGTCGAACACCTCTAGAAATTTGATGAACTGTATGCATTGTTTAGCCATTTGACCCGACAAATGTAATAATAGCCCAATCGGATTAGGTGAAGAACAGGCTTGAGATTCTGAAAAATTCGAAGCAGCAATTTTCCTTCGGAATTCGTTGGAGGGGGTCTGTGGTAGTCTAAATTCAAAAAGTTGGGATTCCAAAGTTGTCGTTACCTCCGCCAGCTTGATTTAAAGGGTTATTTTTTGTATCTTGAATAACTCATTTATTTTCAATTTTACACGGAAAATAGTTTTTACAAAAGTTATTTAAAATTAAATTTCCTACAATTCTGCTTTTTTTTTGTACGATCGATTTTTTTCGATTTATACCCGAAAAGAGGGGGTGAATTTTTGGTTATAGAATAACTCGTTTATTTTCAATTTTACGAGAAAAATTCTTATAAACAAAGTTGTTTAAAATTAAATTTCCTACAATTCTGTTTTTTTTTTGTACGCTCGATTTTTTTGTATTTATCCCTGAGAAGAGCGGGGGTAAACTCTTATCATTGTATTATCACGTTTCTTTTTAATTCCAGGTTTCAGCAAAAAAAAACAAACAGAAAAAATAATGGTACAACATCAATAATAAACGTGACAATACAATACTTAGGTTCACCCCCACTCTTCTCAGGGATAAATACAAAAAAATCGATCGTACAAAAAAAAACAGAATTGTAGGAAATTTAATTTTAAACAACTTTGTTTATAACAATTTTTCTCGTAAAATTGAAAATAAACGAGTTATTCTATAACCAAAAATTCACCCCCTCTTTTCGGGTATAAATCGAAAAAATCGATCGTACAAAAAAAAAAGCAGAATTGTAGGAAATTTAATTTTAAACAACTTTGTTTATAACAATTTTTCTCGTAAAATTGAAAATAAACGAGTTATTCTATAACCAAAAATTCACCCCCTCTTTTCGGGTATAAATCGAAAAAAATCGATCGTACAAAAAAAAAGCAGAATTGTAGGAAATTTAATTTTAAATAACTTTTGTAAAAACTATTTTCCGTGTAAAATTGAAAATAAATGAGTTATTCAAGATACAAAAAATAACCCTTTAAATCAAGATGGCGGAGGTAACGACAACTTTGGAATCCCAACTTTTTGAATTTAGACTACCAGAGACCCCCTCCAACGAATTCCGAAGGAAAATTGCTGCTTCGAATTTTTCAGAATCTAAACTACTAATCCGATTGGGCTATAATTGAACTAAAATAAAAAGTAAATATTGTTAGCAATTTTACCTAGAGTCGCCTCTGGTCAGGGAGATAAGCACGTGTTGATGACGATGCGTAAATACCCCGACCTTTTTCGTCGGCATCATGTTGGTGTTTCACAGGGCATTCTGAAAAGTACAATCAACGTGGTCGATCTCTCTGCGCAGACTTACTGGCCACTCGCTACGTCATTACATGTGTTTTTGTATTCAATATTCATACGATTATAGTGGTGTTTACTAATATTTGGATTTTTAATTGTAATTAATATTTATACCCCCTTCGTTTTCTAACAATATTAACCGACATATTTTGTGACAAGGCCCTTTGGCCGGTTAAGATACGCCGCCACTGCGTAAAGGTATGGACAACTCTTTCGGAACAGTAATCAACGACGATTTTATTCATGCAAAATATTATTTTTGAAAGAATTCTGAAATAAATTCATGAATCCGAGGAAGGGGATAACAAACAAAAAAAAATGATTTGCTTATTTAGTAATATCTTAATTCGACCCAATTAATTTAAGTCTTAGAAATGTATATCTACAATATTTTTCTGTGAATATTTTTTATTTAATTTAGAAATTTTAATTAATATATAATAATATTAATTTTTATTTGGGGATATGAAAATTTAATATTTTTTTGGACGTATACAAATTTAAAAACCATAAATTATACTCAATTAATGTAATTAATTATTATGAACATTAATTCTGTTACTGCTGCCAAATTCTATGATGAATATTTGTCTAGGATTTGGTTGATCAGATAAAGACAAAACAACATTATTATAATATGTCTACGTCTATTATAAGGTAACCTTACCTATTCCATGTATTTTGGCACACTACACATTTCCTTGTTACCTTCAATCCTTATCAAATTATACTCTAAAATCACAAAAAAATTACGTTTTTTGAGATACATGGCTATTCTATTCGGCCGTATGTATTCTCTGGAGGCTTTACTGGTGTTTCCCAGCACCACTTTAGGAACATTATCAACAAGTGAATGAACTTTTAAGCTACTTTCAGTCCCATGCTGTATAATATTCGATTGTGTCACTTTCAATAGGGAAATGTTGATTATATCATTGATTCAATGCATGTTGTAACTGAAGTTGCTGGCAAATCAGTCCGATTTGGAATGTTGCTTTGATTGTACAAATTCCTACAAAATCACATGCATATTGCATTGAGAAGATACAACTATCTGTGGCATGTCATTTTTGAAGTTTTCCTAATAACATTTCTGATTCATAAGTCATGTTGTAAATGTAGTTCACACAAATTTAAATACAGTTTTTGATTAATAACGGGAAGTTCTTAATTAGCATTAAGATTATAGTTATATCTGTATTGGTTATTGATGGTTGGTATGTTTCTAGTGACAAAGAAATTATTTACACTGGTAAAATGCCTTTGGTACGTTCTATATTTTAGTGACATAATAATTATTATTTTATTTCTGATTTATGTGTACATGGAGTATTTTTTAATTAAAAATAGTTATGAATGCTTAGTCACAGTGCTGCTGGACAAAGAAAGTGAATATGTTTTGTTATTTGATAATGAAAAGCAAACTTTACTAAACCAACAATCAAAATTACATTTTATGATTTAAAGGTATATTTTTCTGAACTCTATGCTGTCCTAAATTAGGAACAAAGTTTTTCGAAAATTCTACTAAACACTTACATTTTGTAATTTAATTTAAAGGTATATTTATCAAGAATTTAAATTTTTTTAATGTATAAAATAATTTAAGCTAAATATGTTGTACACTTTTAAAATCTGGATTACTGTAAAATAGTAATTTGAATATTATAGTTTTGTTTTAATGTGACCTTGTATATATTTTTTTCAGGTTCAAAATGGTTGTAGGCGAAAGTATAAACAATATTATGGGGGGTATAGAGAATACAGGGACCGTCAAACAGCACAATCATAAAAAGAAATTAAGACAAAGGTAAGAAATCAATATTTATTTATTGAATAATTTAAAATAATGCATCCTTATTTTTAAAGGAATTATCAGATTTATGTTTGTTTTTATTTTTCGGGATCGTTGTAATAAGGTATATCTTTGAAATTTATTAAATATTGTCTCAGAGTAAATAAAACGGCCAATTTAATTTTTTTTAGTGTTCTTAAAATACGATATTTATGGATTGCCAGTTTTGTACTATAACTTGACTGGATGTGGGGTTAGATTTATTAGGAATACATACCTTGACCAACATTTAGTCAGTCGGTAAGACCTTCAAAGTTTAGGGAAAGATAAATTGAGGATTTTTAATGAGATAATTTGTACTTTACGTCGAAATTTCAGATAAGGTATAGGCGCTCAGGTTCCAGCGGCATTAACGATTGCCAAAATGTACATGTAGTCTGGACCATCGAAAAAATTAAGATTTTGGTCCCATTCGATTCTAAATAGCATCTAAAACGAACCATCAAGTGGACAATAGGGGCCGACAAAAATTGCAACAGTTATAAACAATAATGTAAAAAAAGACTGGTTTGGTTTTTTGAGAATATTTCAAAAACTATTTGAGATAATCAAAATTTGAAAAAAGATCCTTAAAGAGCAGAAAATTTCCTAAAGAAAAGTCCTGCCTTCCAGAACTGTACCGACACTAGGTATTTATCATTTTAATTTAGAAGTGAAAATGGGGCTAAAACCGAGTAGCGGCTGAAGCTTGATAAAAAAAAGTATTTCAACCGATTAAATCTAAATATTAAAGAATAAAAAAAAATTGGTACTATATCTAAACACACGAATAAACAATAATCGGTCAACAAAAAATTTTTATCACAATTTTTTAATTAACTCTATGCTTTTGTTAATTAGTTAATTTTTACCAGTTGAAAGTTAACATAAAAACGTTGATTATTTCTAAACTAGAAAGCTAGATGTTTTACTTTTTGGTGCTATTCTTAAAAGGGTTTAGAAAAAATCCTAGTTGAAAAAAATTAAAATTTTTTCACTTTTTTTTAACAATCAAAGGCATTAAAAAATGAATGATGTAAATAAAGCAATCCGGAAATATTTGTTTTTAAATTATTATTATTTTGTTTTCTTATTGCTGAAAGCTATATAACAATATATTTTTAAAATATTTAACTTTATTTAAATAATTGTTATAAACAAATGCATTGTCAATAAGAATTTGAATTTTTTTTGGAAATTTAATCCCTAGTGAAAATGATATTTAAAAAAAAAAACGTTTCATAAAAAAAATGTTATTGACAAAAAACACTTGTTAATTAACAATTTTTATCTGAGAATTTTAGAAGTCAAAGATAATAGATCCTAAATAAGTTTCTAAAAATTCAAAATGGCACTGAAAGAAATCGTATTTAATCAAAAAAGGTCCTTCTTGAATGGAAATAATAAAAATCGTCCTTTTGGTTTGTGTAACTGGACCATTTTAAAAGCAGCCAATCATTATTGTTCAATAACGGTGAACGTGACGAAGAATACGGAGTGGACGCGAAGTGAGAATTCGGGTGGGATCAAAAGGAAGATTGATGGAAAGAGAAATGTGAAAAAGGTTTTTTGGTTTGGTGTTTTTTTTTTTCAACAACAGATTTATACGTTTCTGGAAATTTCTGTTCGTTTGGATAAAATAATAAAAAATAATTTTTTTATTTATCGAATTTTCCGACTTTCCCGACGTTTTTTAGAAAAAACTAAAAACTTACATGTAAAACTATTCGACGTTCCTCAAAATCTGTCGTCCATATTTTCTCTCTAACTCAAACACATTTCCCAGGAAAATAGAAGGACATTTCGGGTCGAACGCTTTTCCGGGAAAAACACTGCTTCAAAGAGGAGATAGAGTAAAAATACCTTAAGAAGAATTCTCCGGCTTGACGAGATGCGTCGATTGATGTATTACATGACATGATGTTTAAGACAGGGGGAGGGGTAATATTAAAAACCGTGAACATTTTTGGCTTTTGCTTTAAAAATTTAAGGAAAATTTAAAAAAATGTGTTTTAAAAAATTTCTCTTTTGGATGGTATCGGAAAATATAAAATCTTTTTACTATAAAGTACTTTTTTACCAAAATTGATTTATAACAGGGAGGGGAGGGGAGGCTAAGCAAGGTACAAAGACTTTTTAATAAGATAATAAATAATTAAGTTTACACATTTAAATAATTACATTTATAATAGCGCCTAAAAGCACAATAAACAAAGTCAATACACCACGGCACTGGTAAGTTGCAAATACTCAAAATACCAGCATGTTGCTTATTTTCTTTACGTTCAAACTTTGCCCCTATGGAGCAACTCCAATATGTGCCATATTTAAAAAAATATATAACACATCAGTACTTACATTATTTTATGTAAATTACTTGAAAAATAGAGATACAGCGTTCATTTACAATTTGTATTCCTCTTAATGATTCCAAACTAACTACTACATCTCATATCTGATCAAGTATATTTTTAATAAATACGATTTACAAAAATATTAAATCAAAAACAAACCATAAATTTTTTTTTTTTTTCATCCTTTAGAATCGATTTTAGTTGGCATCAAGAATTACGCAGATAACACATTTTATTGGTGAATTATTGTGTATACAATTTATATTTTAGGTTTGACATTATTAAAAAATTGGGACAAGGTACATTTGGGAAGGTGCAGCTGGGAATAAACAAAGAGACTGGTCAAGAAGTTGCTATTAAAACAATAAAAAAATCAAAAATACAATCGGAAGCCGACTTAGTTAGGATTAGAAGAGAGATTCAGATTATGTCATCTGTACAACATCCTAATATTATACATATATATGAAGGTAAGTAAAGAAAAAAAATATATATGGGGCAATTTAATTTTCAGTGCAACAATTATTTTTTAGTTGAATAAGTTTTTTTTTCATGAAGACTTTATTGAAAGCAGAAATTGTCTCTACAAAGCTCTAATTTTAATAAATTAGCTTTGCATTTAAAATTACTCGTAAATTGCAAAACTACATCTGCAAAGTGTTTTTCTGGTGTGCATAGCAATGAACGTAATTTGCAAGAGGATATGTTTGTTTAATCATTTTTTGCACACCATTTAATCCACCACTCATTACAGACGCGCCGTCATAGCTGTGAGCAATTAATTTATTTGGACTATGTTTTAATAATGGATGTAAAACATTTAAAATGCAATCAGCGATTGATTTGGCGCCGTGTCCATCGAGCATGTAAAACCTCCAAAATCTCTCAACTGGTCATCCTTTACACAAATATCTGAAAATTATAACTAATTGAAATGCACAAGCAACGTCCGTCGTTTCATATGTAATCACTGCAACAGAAGGAGAATTTTCTATACATATAAACATGTAACATGCACTCAAGAAGTTCATTTTGGGTTGTTTTTGAGGTACCTTTGAAAGCTTTTGAACTTTGAATATGAACCTTTTAAGTCGTTGTCTAATTCGGCGCTAAAATTCACCAACTCCTTAAATATGCCTCTATTTTCCGAATTATCTTTCTCATTGTGACCCCTTAAAACTAACTCAAAAGCTCCACAAAACCTTATACAATTTATAATTTGATTTAAAACATACCGATTCTTATCCACTTGTTGATTATGTTTAATTAGAGCATCACGATAAGCGTAATTTAACTGGGTTTTTATATTTAACTTACCAAGAATGGACAAGCTAAAAACATTATTCATGTGCACTTTAGATTTTTCATGGGATTTCATTTTATCCCATATATGGACAAGATCGTCTGTGTCTTTTTTTGGTCAAGTCTCGTCACCTCCAAACAAAACACATACAAAACAAAACAGTTTATTAGTTTCTTCGCATCCACACAACCAATTATTTTTATCATAGTTTTATTAAATTTACAACACCGCGATTTTTGCCCACTTCCACTTTGTTTTTCAATTTTTAAATCGGAAATTGGCCGGCCTAATTCTTTAATTTGTAGTTTTTTTCTAGCGAAAAAACACTAAAAGAGTTTTTTAAGACGCCAATTTTATTCATTGTCAAAATAAATTAAAAACTAGGAAATAAGATATTTAAACAAGTTTATCGAAAACAAAAATACACATACATAGGTATTAAATTCACTAACACTTCGTAACGTAACGAAAAACTTAAAAGCTCGTAAAGAAATTCGGTTAATTCAGTCAACAATCGACATTATCGAGAAACCGCGATTATCTGAACAGCTATCGGCGCTGTGCCCGGCACGAACATTCCTTGATTTTACCGTTTAAATACATGTAAAATGTCCCCATCTCTGTTGCTCACATAGGCTGCTGGTAAAATATCTCTCTCTCTCTCTCTCTCCCCTAGTGCCAGCTGAGAAATGGCTCCGGTAAGCGGCAAGAGCTTGGAGATTTATGCAGCGCGAGGTTGCCACATTTCAAATACTTTTTGAATATAAGAAGAAATGCATAAAATAAAAATATAATAAGACGTTTTAAAAATAAAAAATATATTTTTGCGTCAAAAATAAGGTAGTGCAATGGCACAGTGGCACTACCTCACGACCTGCCACTGAAGAAATGCCTTTTGTACCGAAGTATTTTTTAGTGCGTTAAACAACTGCGAAAATTGTTCCGTCGACATGGTGACGGAACTAGGACCGATATGTGTACCTCTTTCTGGATCATTAGACTTTTTGGGAGCTATTTTGGTAAAATTTACGAAATCTTACGAAATTTTTCAGACAGCCCGGCAACAGCGCGGTAGCTTTGAAAGATGAGAGAAGAAAAATAGAAAGAAGCTTTGTAGAGAAGCATTCTAAAAGTCACTTTATCTCTCCGCTGTCTGTATTATCAGTGAGACAGGTTTAATATTTCATGCCGATAAGTAGCAAAATTTCAATGTTCTCAAAACCCAAATTGTTACTTAAACACCGCACTAGGTACACCGCTCCATTGATTTGTTACACGATATAGAGAAGACAGTGAACAAATTAAAATAAATTAAATCATTGCAAATAATCTATTGATAAATTTATACAAATCGATGAATCTTTCCTTATTGGAAAACAGTATTAAATTACGAGGCGATAAGGATTAAAATCCGTTGCAGGTGTTAAAACATAAAATTAACAACCACTTCAAATTACGAGGCAATACCAAAATACGCTGCCTGAGTTAAGACGTAAAAATGACTTTTTTTTCGAAAAAAGAAAACTTCCTTGTTCAACTTAAATTAATAATATCCACCCCTAATCAACGATATAGACCTAAATTAGTGGAATATACATTAGTTAACAACCAAATCCCTGCAACAAATAGATACCTTTAATTTTTTACCCTTAATTTTTTTAGACTTTTTTTCGATTTGTTTAGTTGAAAATTGGTAAAAATGTCTATTTATTAAGACTATATGAATTTTAATGTATAATTTATAATAACAGTCAAACACCAATGAAAAAGTCAGGTTAACAAACTTTATTGTTTTTGCCAATCGTCAGATATTTTTTCCCATTATAACGGGACTTTAGATTGGCTAATAGGACCGGGATCAAATACTTATTGCATATAGCACATGACCAACCTCTTTGATGATAAAATATTGTACCGTTTCTTAATATTAAACTCAGTTTTAAGGAGACAAATTAATTATTTCTTGAAACTATGTACCATTTTTTTAAATTCATATTTTTCTATAATAATCATTTTATGTAAATATGCAAATAATGAAAAAAATGGGAGAAATCTAAACTAAACAATTAATGATTTTTTTACAATACCTATCAGTTCAAATAAACACAGGTTAATGATTTTAATCTTTTTTTAAAAAGTATTTTTTATTTTTACATCTAATATTTTTTATGGGTAATCAAAATGACTATTTCTTATTTTAAAAATAGAATGGTTCACTGACCTTTCTAATAGTAAGTGGGTAGAGTCTAGGACAATTAAAGCGCTATTTTTTATGTATACAGGAGATGAATTTAAGCTTAAACAACTTTATTATTATACAGAGTATTTAATATTATATTTTGCTATTTTTAAATCATTTTGCTAATTACTTAGATATGAAAACGTGATTTGCTTTTTAAAATTTCATAATCGAAATCTAAAAGAATGCTGGAAAATTTATACAGTGATAACTTTTTTTTAGTATTTGAAAATAGAGAAAAAATGGTTCTAGTCATGGAATATGCAGCTGGGGGTGAACTATACGATTATTTATCTGAAAGAAAAATTCTGGACGAAGAAGAGGCTCGTAGAATATTTAGACAGATAGCGACGGCTTGCTACTATTGTCATAAACATAAAATATGCCACAGAGATCTTAAGTTGGAAAATATTTTACTCGATGAGAATAATAATGCAAAGGTATTATTTTATTCCCCACCTGTGTTTCTTTAGGTATATTTATCACTTTTATTTAACTTTTTAGATTGCCGATTTTGGTTTATCTAATGTTTTTGATGACCAAAGGCTATTAGACACATTTTGTGGTTCTCCACTTTACGCCTCACCTGAAATAGTTAAAGGTACCCCGTATCATGGTCCTGAAGTGGATTGTTGGTCTCTAGGAGTACTTTTATACACACTCGTATATGGCGCAATGCCATTTGATGGTAGCAATTTTAAAAGATTAGTCAAACAAATATCACAAGGAGATTATTTTGAACCTACCAAACCCAGTCGTATGTAATCTTTATTGATGTCATTATTTTTAGTTAATACATTTTTTTTTAGCTGCTTCACCTTTAATAAGAGAAATGCTCACAGTTAATCCAAAAAATCGAGCCGATGTAGAAAAAATCTGCAGTCACTGGTGGGTGAATGAAGGCTACTCTGAAAATTGCCTTGACATTTCAGAAGAATTAGCCAATCAAACACCTGTTCGGCTCGACGTTCTATTATCCTTAGCTCCTCCCGCTCCACAATTGGAAAGCGAAAAACTCATGGTAACAGGGGAAGAACAATCCGGCAAACAAGAAATTACCGGAGCACCAACCAGATCTCACTCCGTTGGATCTTTTATGGAATTAGCACATCCTGCTGAAAGAAGGATCATAGATATGCTAATGGAGGATAAGATTACCCCTAAGAGGAAATTAGAGACTACTGTTAGTACTGATAGGGTCAATTTGGATAAACGAAAAGAAAAAATAGTGAAAGAAAATACTGTCGCTGATATTACTGTAAGTACATAGAATGTAAATAATTTATTTCCTTATTACAATTAATTATAACTATATGAAATATGATTTATTAACATTTTGATTTTCTATAGGTACATGGTCAACATAAAGAGATAGAAGATGCAATTAGAGCAGCACCTTTAGATAAAAGTTCGACACAAACAATATCCAAAGAAATGGAAGTAGAGCCACATGAAACAATAGATCCCAATCTTCAGGGAGCCGCTTGCAGTGAAATATTAGAAGAAACGGAAAAGAAGAAAAATCAGAAACTCAAAAAATCCTTAACAAAAACTATAAGCAGTAATATTTTAGAAAATATAAACGAAATGCCTAGTCAAGAAAATGTAGCGGACACTTTGAATAAAGAAAATATAAAAACTGCAGTTAAAGAAACGCCTGAAAGCGAAATTAAAAAACCTTCAGCAGAAAATAAGAGCCCAGCGAAGAAGAAGATTGGTACAAAGAAAGTTTTAGTAGATAAAAATGAGAATTCTACTCAGCTGGTTCCAGCTGTAGAAGAAAAAGCTAAAAAGGAAGCTCCTCAAGAAACTAAAGAGCCTGATGTAGAACCTCCCTCTAAACCAATTGAAAGACGAAAATCAAGAATATTCGAAGCAGCTGAAAAATTCCAAAATCTTATATCGCCTACAGAAACTAAAACTCCTTCTGAAAAACCAAAGAAAGTTCTAATACCCGGTGTCAGTGTTGACGGATTTAAAAAAGAATTCGAACGCAAAGCTAGCTTAACATCGACCACCCCGCCTAAAGTAAAAGGTGCCTTAACGAAGAAAATTCCTGTAAAGAAGTCTGAAGATAAACAAGAATCCGTAGAAATAATAGAAAAAGCGCAACCCGAGCCCAAAGAGACTGATGAAGAGAAAAAAGAACGCCTAAGAAACGCAGTCAATATTATCTCAAGTGCCTTAGATAAGGAAGGAACTAGAAAATCGAAATCGCGGCCTTGCATCGAAAGAAAACCTCCCGTACCGTTTGGTGTGAGTGGCAGATCAGCGTCTGGTAACATTGGAATGCTAACGACTCCTCTTTCCCCACCGCCGGGTCCCAAACCTTACGTTCCCATTAAATTGTCGGACTTACATCTGCAAAAAGTTGAAGATAAACCTGAAACATTGGAAGAAAACGAAAATAAGGTTTCTTCCGCTGAAATTACCCTTAAGAGTGCTACTCTACCAAGGAGGAAGACGACAAAGGCTGAAATCCAATTGAATTATCCAGTTCCTAAACCTACACAAATGAATTTCAAGACTGAAATGGCGCATAATGTTGAAGGATATCAGCCACAAGGTGCTGAGATTGTTGCTGAAATTACTTTACCAAGGTAAATATCGATGGCTTAATTCTAACAAGTTTTAACTCATAATTTTTACGTTTACTCAATAAAAAAATATGAATTTACTTGCCGCATAAGCTGTCAAATATGTCAAATAATTTCTGTTTTGATTGATGTAATGTCATTTCATATCAAATCAACCAAAATGAAAAGAGGTATGGAAGACCATCTCACCGATTTTGATAAAATTTGGTACCCTGATTCTTTATATGGGTGGGATTAAAAATCCATATTTTTTTTTTTAATTTATTTTCAAAAATCGAAAAATTGACCAATTTGGTCCAACACAACTTCACAAAAATTGAGAACTGCTCATCGTAGATCAATAAGATATATCTCGTTGTAAAGGTGATTCAAACACCTTTCCAACGATGTGTCACATGACCTATTTTATTTTTGATTTTTTTAATTTTTGATTTTTTTAATTTTTGATTTTTTCAAAAGTCATTTCGGATATATATTTTTTATTAATGCTTTGGCAAAATATGTGCCAAATTTCAAAATGGAGAGATCATGAGTTCAGTATAAAAAAAATAAAGATAATAAGAAAACGTGAAAATCTAATTAAAAAGTGAAAATTATGAACATTTTTGCACTTATTTTTGTAATTTTCTTAAGACTAACTAAATTTTACAAGAAATATACTTAAAATATTATGAAAAAATGTTAACAAATGGTTTTTGGTTTTAATTGAGCCATTTATTTTGAAAGTGGCCTAACTGCATTTAAAATCGCATATACTATTCACTCAAGGAAAGCAGGACGGAATATTTGATTTTACCAGCACTGTATGTTAATGAAAAATTTAATTAAAATTGCCATCATCAGTGCTTATTTACAATAAATTGTGAATAAATGCGTAATTTTTGAAAGAGTTACAAATTAAAAACTGTTTATTTTACACATTGAAGAATTTTTATCAAATTTAAAATACATTCATTTTTGATTTGTAACTTTTCAATTTATTTTTATATTTATATTTTTATTCATATTGTTAATGGCTTAAGGCCGAAAGCGCTGTGCAATTTTAAAATATTTCTGCTAGAAATACACATTTTTCATTGCTAATGTAAGCTATGTACACACATTCTCAACCTCCGTTGGTTTAATAAGATATTAAAACAAACCCAGATAACAATTATACATTCTTAGTATATACTTTTTAAGAATACGCATATGCTGAGAATATACTGTATTTGCATTTGGTACATTCTCAGAATATGCTAAGCATATGCTACGTGACGTTGTTTATACGTGCTATGCAGATACTGAGAATGTACTTCAAGTATGTGTACAGTATGCAACAGAGGTATCTACTTTAATTTGATAGTACGTTCTAACTATTTAAATATAGCATATGTTAGGCATATACTAGACACCTTAATACAGGATGTTCAATTAATATTGAACATTAAAGAATAAGTGTATATAATGAGTCTTTATTTCAAAGAATTCATACTTATTTTTATTACAAATACTATCTTTGGCCTTAACCAATCAATATTTTATTGTACCAATGGCTTGAGTTTCATTTGCTTGATTCCATTGGATCTTCATTGAACCTAAAAAATAAAAAAAAATAACAAACTTGGTACATATACAAATTAAGTGTACATAGCTAATGGGATATTTTAAATATTTTTGTCGAACATAAAACATTAAAAATTGTACATGGCATTCCACTAACAAAAACAAGAGTTACATAAATGATTATGATGTTTACTGAAAGTTTAAATATATTTTTGTTAATTACTTACCACCATTTTGTAGTTTTCGTCCTCCTTTAGCTAACTTTTCTAGTTCTTCCAGGTCAATATCTGGCCTTACAGGATTTTTTCATAGAAAGTGTGTATGTAATTCTGGTAACACTAGTATTATTAACTTTATTATTAAATTCACACTGGCAATAATATTTGGGATATCCTGTATTCTAACGTCACTTATAGGAGGTCCTAAAAACTATAAATATAGTAAAATTTGTTTATTTTTATATACAACATACGATGCAATTAATTTTTATTAATTGACTAAAGCTTAATTTATAACCGCCGTAACGTAACTTAAGAACTTAACGTAAGAAGTTGAAATATTGAATTTACATATACTTATTTATAATGTTCGTAACGTAACTTAAGAACTTAACGTACTGTAGAAAGTTCACCAACTTTTAACTTAACAACTTAACTTAAGATTTTACGGTTAGCCAATGAGATAATTCTGAGTTCAGTATGTGATAACTGTCAATTATTCTCTTTTTATTTTTTTTTATAAATGAATAGACAAATAGGTACCATTTGTAAACTATCATTCTCCTTTTTGATGGACATACATTATCATGAATGATTTGTGTTTATGTTATTGGGGATAAACTATTTATGAGATATGAATGTTGCTGCATATACCTATAAACATCGATTCTAGAACTGAAATAAGACACAAAACTAGTTTGCTAGGAAAGATTCAATTCTCATTATTGCTCAAAAACAATCAACATCTTCGGTAAACTATTCTGTTTTATTATATTTTTATAATATTGCTTTTAAAGTAGTTAATATATTCTTTCTATATAGCAAAATCATAATTTATAAGTTTTATTTAGAGTTTAAGTACATAGTTTACACTTGTTTATTTCATAATGTTGTCAGTAATTTGATAATCTCTGAAATCAACACGCATGCTCAACTCTTACGTTACGGACATTTATACTTTATTTTTATATCTTAGGTTAAGTTTCTACGGCGTTAAGTTACGTTACGGTGGTTATAAATTATACTTTACCTCTTACAAACAAACGATATCAAAAAAATTTGTAGGAATTGTAGGTTATGTTATTCTTCTTCTTTTCTTCTATTTTAGTTTGAGAATGTATTTTGGCCTAAACATTCAACATTAGTGCGTTTGGTAGCGAATTATTAGATCGGCATCTGGGAAAAATTCATATAGATATGTATATAAACTTGTTTTTACATGTATTTGGTGTTAATTTTTACCTGCAAGCATTTAGAACATTCTCAGAATATGAGGTACATGCTGGGTATATGACTTTTAGTATCTTCTACGAATGTCCTGTTATAGCACGTGCTCAGTATATACTTTTTGGAATATACTTTTAAGGCACGTACTCAGTATATACTTTCTAGAATATACTTTCAAAGTATATTCTAGGTATGTTCTAAGAACATTCCAAAAGGATATACTAAAAAGAACTTAAACAGAACGTTCTTGGTATATTCATAGAACATTGATGTTATGTGGGAAGGAACCGACTGGCACCGATTTTGTTGGTATGGGGCAATTTTCTTCTTTTCCAGCCTTTTTTTACGACGTATTTAACTTAGTTATGTAGCTAATTTGTACATTATCTCATCTACTCACTACTGGAGAAAAATTCATATAACTAACCCCGCTTAATGGAAAAGTCCAATCACTGAAGATTTGTGAATAATAATAGGCTAAATTGATTTTTAGGTTGAAACAAGAACAACAGGCAAGAACCTCTTCAAAAGAACGGGTAATACCAATTTCATTTGAAAGACAGGAGAGCCAAGAAACTGTACAAACTCCACCACCCATGAAACCCCCTACGTCAAGAGCTTTTCAGACTCAGAAGTCCAGCAGTTCTCAAAGGTAAGAACATATTTTTTTAAAGAATATAGATTTATAGATGGATGTAGACTCCGTTTCAATAGTAAAAAGTATAGCTTTTTCACAGCATAATTGATTATAAGAATTTACATTTTAAAACATTGAAATGGCATGTTTTCACAAAATCTCTAATAAAAAGAACCATCTAAAACAGTGAAATAGTATTTTTAAATTAAATTAAATTGTCACATGGTCACAAGGTTGATGAACGCGTGTTTATTTTAAATTTTAAAATACATTGTTGTTTATCTCAAAAAGTGTCCACCAAAAAGCACTAAATTATGTTTCGGAAAATGGCCAGAATGGACTAATTATAAAAACACTAAAAATTGCAATTGACAAAATTAGCTCCGATACGATGAAGTTCAGAAGAAATTTGTTGTTTCAGATTAAAAAACTTATGATACTTTGAATTATAAGATTCATTCCAATTTAAAAATTTGTATTAATAAAAGAAGTGAAAAGGGACTTTTCCAAGTGACCCATCATTACTATACAGTAGAAAACTACAGATAGTTAGCACTAGTGCAAGCAGGAAACTAAAATAACAACGTTGCCAGTAAACGGCCACCTGGCTTCGTGGGGATAACTCTCGGTGTTCTTTTTCACAATCATAATTCATATCATACAGTGACCACTGAACACACTGAAGGGTAACTCACCTTGGCGGGAAGAGTCCGCGCATCCATCAAATCGCCATTGTTTAGGGTTCCGCTACGATGTTGACAAGATTTATTATCACTCAGCGTTGCCAATTTGAGAAATTGATTATCGAGTGTAATCTGTTGTAATGTGATTACTAAAACCAAACCGACTGACCCGTTCGTACTAAGCCGGTTATCGAAAGGAACCCAAATTTGATGGCCGAAGCACAACGATATTTGCCACAGTGTTCTTGTTAGAGATAGTTTCTCACCCGGTATATGTTTTTTGGTATTGTCACATTGACTTAATAAGAAAATAAAATATTTATCAGAAGTCAATTTGGTGAATCATTTTTATTAAGGTTTAAGACAAATTATCCATCAACTCCTTACAGTTCTTATGTAATTTCTCGAGAGTTACACTTCAGTGTATTTAGTGCAGTGACACAGCACAGACCAGACTGTCAGTCCTTTCGAACATTTGAGGTTGATTTTCATCTTGTTTGAAATAAATCAATGTTACATTTTCAATAATCTAAAATAAAACCTAATTTAAGAGTAGAAATGTAACAATGATCAATTATATTGATTATTCTCTTGGACAGTACGGTTTTATTCTTTTATTAATTATTATACCTATAAAATAAAGAAAATGCATTTTTCCTACAACCACTTAGTCAAGTGGCATCTATCTCACTATTTAGTCTTATGGGAAGTGCCCTATAGCATACTCATGTAATAATAATAATAATAATAATAATAAGGTCTTTATTTTCACATCATAAAATAAAATTAAAGTATATTTACAATATGTGGATAAGAATTTACTTTCCATCTGTGTGTGAATATGAATCTACTTGCCGCATAAGCTGTCGAATATGTCAAATAATTTCTATTTTGATTGATGTAATGTCCATATTAATAGTAAAATCCTTTAAATGATTAAATTGTTAACATTAATTTTTAAAACTACATCTTAGATATTTCTTTTCAACAAATTATTAAAAGAATTTTAAAGTAACTACCTATAATATTTTTGTTTTTTCCTGGTTCAAATACATATGTGATTAGATAATACATGTGACATAACCGTGATAGCGCAGGTCGTAGAGTATTCAACTTCTTCAACTTTGCAATTCGCGACCATGACATGACGCTGGTTCATTTTTTTATTTTGGAAAATTTGAAAAATATGACTATTGTTTATGTTAAATCCCCTACAATTAATTATTCTTTTCGCTATTTATTTTGTATTATTTTAATTACTGTCAGAAAAAATTGTGAGTAGATAAGTGGGTAATCATTAATAATAAAAAAGTTTTTGTTGAAAGTTGTTCATCTCATTTGTTTAAAATGAAATAAACTAATGAAAAACATTGGATTCTAATTTTTTTTTGTATCTATGGTTATTTTATCTTTACCATCCTATAAAATTGTAAATGAAATCACAATGTTTTTAATTTTGACACCACCATCTGTAAAATTATTCAATAAGGTATATAAAAAACAAGTCTTGGTGTAATCTTTATAGCCACATTTCCTGGTTTTACATTTTTTTGATAAAATTATTTTACATATTGTTTTGTTTTAGATCAAATCTGTCGAGACAATCCACACAGGATTCAGATACCGAAACTGTTGCTTCTACAGGCGAGCCAATAAGAAAATCTCCCAGAGAATATATAATTCCTATTGCCGTTGAAGGTGGAGGCTACGTTACTCCGAGGGCCGGCAGCTTAGAACCTAGTGATACAGCTAGTACTACAAGTACAATGACATCTAGAAGTAAAACTAAATTTGGAAGAGGCAGAAGATTAAAGTAAGAACCATTTATAAGACAAAATAAAAATATTAAACGGATTTTCTTTTTTAGTACATTCTTTGGAGACAGAGATTCCGAGGATGAATCATTCTCATTCCATCATCCTAGAGATAGTGATACAGAAGATCCTAGGAAGGATGCTTTCCATAGGCTGAGGTAATACGATAGAATTTTAACTAGTTTCTGTAGCATATTATTTTTTTACCAAAATGAATCCTATTTCTTTAAACGTTGCTTCAAAAATGTTTTCTGTTTAATAGGAGTACTCGTTCTAAAAAGGCACCTGTGGAACATGCTGAATCGATTAGCTCTGGAGATGAAGATGATGATGAAGGCTTCGAAATTCTGACGGCTGAAAACCTGTTTTCAACACTGTTATCGAGGGTAAGGGATAAAATTGCGTACAATTAAAAAATAATTTTTATAATCTCAGACCTTATGTCAAATCAATTTAGAGGTTAACCTTGTATATAGTATGACAAATTTGAGATGGCAAGTGAAATGCGCAGAACATAGTCTGAGAAGGATAGACGTAGCTTGCAGTGAGTGAAGTAGCCACACCTCCTGACGTGTGATGTTGTCGTTATATATGTTTAGTAATTCTGTAACGTGAATATCTGATTATTTTATCTACTTTGATATATGTGTTTGAGCACCATTTATAGGGCGTGGGTTAAGTTTTTAAATAACTCGAATAACTTTGAAACAGAAGTTGGGCACCACTATATTTAAAGCTTATACACTTAACTCTAGATTAGTGATAAAAATATAGAAAATCACTAACCACTAACAAATTATACTTAAACTATGCTTTAGATAAGGTAGTTATCAAATTCTAATTCACATAAGTTAGCACAAAATTCAAATTTAAAACAATTTATTAATTAAGTTCACTTATCTTGTTGGAAAGTGAGGTAATATACGGAATTAGTAAATCTAAGGTTAAATCAGGTATTTTATTCTTCGATCCAAACTGTAGAGGTACATAACACTATACCCGGGTCAGGCAACTTCCACCAAGGGATTCGGGATCCTTATTCATAATTCTCATTTGTGACTGCACCGTGAATGATCTTCAAGATAAATGGTATTTGAATTCAAAACCGTCTAGAGATAAAACGTAAATTATCTTCAAGATAAATGGTATTCGAACTCAAAACTGTCTAGAAATGAAACCGTCTATACATAGCCATCAGCTTATAAAATCAGACGGTCACTAACATAAATAAATATAATATAATACATCGGATGGCCTAGATACAATCAAAATTGACGCGACCTAGTCGTCGCTGTGTGTTAGATCAAAATCAATGTCCTTTCTCTGACACAAAGCATATAGACGACAAATGACATTTGAGTAAGAGGTGATTGTGTCGAAATAACGTTACAATTCTGACTTGCCATCTCAATCTTGTCGTACTGTAATAGATTTGGTATACCTACTGTTTGGTGAGATTGATTTAAAGGAAAAATTTGTTATAACTTTTTTCTTACATTTTTTAGGTAAGGGATTTGACCCAAAGGTTAAATGTAGATGAAGGAATGAGACCTGGTTTCCCAAGCAGTAGATTGTTCACTCATTTTGACCACGGAACTAATTTCTTTAATAGAATGGAGCATCCTCTGTCCAGGTAAAATTATCTGTAAATTTATAAATAGATCTGTAACATTACAAATTTAAATATTTTTAAAAAAGCATGATCCAATGTGACCTTGAAATATAAATGATCTAATCTTGTTCCCACCCACCCCTTAAACAAACTTCAGGAAATAACTAGTAAACATGTGTGTATCTGTTTAATATTTTTAACCAACTTCAAAAAAGGAGGAGGTTCTCAATTCGTCGGAATATTTTTTTTATGTATGTTCAGCGATAATTCTTTAACACAGTTTCCGATTTCATTGATTCCTAGGGGTGGTCCCATATAAATTTGGTCAAAATCTAATAATTTGATCCATGTGAAAATCCTCACTCTTCATTTTTTGTGTAGGTAAACTTTGTTTCATTGGTGACTCTTTCTGTTCGATGGTTTGGACATATCTGTTTGTTTCAATTTTTATTAATTTTGGGATATTGTGGAAGTACTTATGCGAAGATTGTATTCTCCATTTTAAATCCTTTGGAGCATTTTTGCTCTTAGTTGTCTGTACTCTTCTATCTGTGTTCTTGTTTTATCGAAACCTAGTGCTATTTTTTGATACATTGTTTGTTTTTTTAAGTTCCTCAGCTTTTTAGAACACTTTTTTTACATTATCACCTGATGTTGATAACACCTTCAATGGTGTAGGTTTATCGTTATTAAACCTTTAGTCTTAATACATCAACATCTGTGCAGACAGCTTTTGTGATGTTTTTAGCTTCCACTTTGTCAGCTTCTTTGTCATCATCGGGTTCATCTATATACAACCAAAGATCATTTTTCTTGGAATCGTTCATGTATCTCTTTAGTAGCATCAAATTTTCCCTCACTTTCTACAAAGTTTTTTTTCATTAGTTCTTGTATCTGTTGTTTTAAGATGTTTACTTTATTTCTCAGTTATTCATTTTCCTTCTGTTGCATTGTAAACAACTTTAGAAAATCGTCGAGTTTGTTTTCTGAACTGATTAATTTATTGATTATATCTAGGAATATTCATTACAACTACAGCATTCAGAGAGTTTATTAGGATTAGATTTGAGTTCACCTGTACAATCTGAGCCTGTATATCTTTTACCTATGGAATTTTGCTTGTTGAATGTATCCCAAATAGAATAATCAAAGATTATTTTGTTGTACACCCTACCAAATGTAATCGTGTAAAATTTAGAATTATTGAAAGACACACAATTTTTCATAGACCAATTATGAAGAGCTTGTACATCAATTTGAAGAAGAAGGCAATCAATTATATTACGAATAGCCATGTAAAGTCTTACGTCATCTGCAAAAAGTAGAAACTTGGCATATTTGAAAATACTACCAATGTCATTGATGAATAGTAGAAACAAAAAGGGTCCTAAGTGAGAGCTCTGTGGTACTCCAGAAGGCACCACAATGTGGTCTGAAGACTGCTGCCAATCTTCACTATCTGTTAAATAGATTTTTAGCCATGAAATCAAAGGATCAGGAAAACCTAAAATATTAAGTTTGTGTAATAACCCAACAAACATTTTGTGTAGGGGAATTAAAGACCCAATAACTGTCACCCTTCAATTACATTGATGGCTATTTGACTTTTTTAATTAAAAGGCCGGCATATATAGGTCACTACGGCCGACAGTCGGGCCGAAGTCACTTTGCCATCATAACCAATTAATGGGCCTTCATTTCCCCTTTAATGTCTAGAAATAAATAAATTGCTGGCCTTTTACCATATTAATAAAGGCCATGTGTCAGGCACATGATCAGACAGGATATTCGATAGTGCCTCTTTGACCAGTAGTACCGTTTGAACCATAAATTCTATACAAAAACAGAAGGCATTTTAATATAGAATATTGTAGACATTTTATTTAATTCAGCTATATAATATAATAATACTGAAAAAATGTCTTCTTCAAAAAAATTATTAATGAAATATTCTAAATTAACATGTAAAAGTAAAAAATTACAATGAAAACTGAACACCAGCAATGCGAGACTGGTCTCATAATACATGTCCACTCGTTGAGTATGTAATAAGCGATCATCGGTGCCTCCATCTACGAACACGGGACGGAGCCCTCCTGGACTGTTGGCGTTGGGTCTGCGACAGTTAAAAGCCTTTTGACTTTTACCATACTTTTACCCAATACAGTTACTTACCCTTCATGAGGCCATCATCAAGCAACAATGCTGGGCCAGCAATATCCCGGCAATTTTTTGTTTGTTGGGAATGATTGGTTCACACGATCGAAGGCTTTACAAAAGTCAAAATAAATTGAATCCACCTGTAGATTGACACCAAATTGGGAAAGAATATACTGCTGATATACCATCAAATTTGTAACTGTTGATTTTCATCGATTATCAAATTATTACAATACCAAGAAAGATCACAGACAATTTTTTAAAAAGTTGAGGAGTAATGGACAGCATACTAATAGGACTGTAATTCTGAATATCGTTTTTCTTGCCATTTTTAAAGATAGGTACTACATAACTACTTCTTATACATTTTTTCAGAAAAAATTAAGAAATTCCATCTGGTCCATGGCTTAATTTATCGTTAAGATTTAGTAGTACCATTAAAAGCTTCTTGTATCAAAAACTTAATAGGAGGAATATGAAAAGTGTTTTTAATATCTAAATTAATATTTGAGTCTGCTTTTTAATGACTGTAAGTGTTCAGAAAATAAATTATCGATGTATTGGGAGGTATCACCTGCCTTATCATTTAAGAACATAGTGCCAGACAAGGAAGAGTCATTTTTTAAAGATTTATAATAGTTCCAAAATATTTGAGATCAACACAAAATGTTCAAATTTTTTAAACCGCTCTCGAGTAATACATTATTTTGTTGTAAATGATTCCATTGTAAATCATTTGTCACGACTTGAAAGTTCTGGAATTCGAGCGTTGTACTGGTCCAGCATATGTTAGTTAGCTATTCCGACAGGACAATTGAGAGAATAATTATTTCTTATAGAACAAATTTTTGACAATGTTAGATAACATTTCTATTCTCTGAAAGTGGTATGTGCACTTCAAATGGGTTTAAAAACCTCTTAGTATAATGTTGGTTTCAGTTGTGAAGAGTTGCGATTAATTTTAATTTCTGTAGTTTCTGTATAAGGGTTTATTGTAAAGGATTCAATAGAGTTTTTAAAGTTTAATCCAGTGTGTTTCTTGCAAAACGAACCAGTTAATAAACAACGACTATAGAAGGTATGTATGTATGTATGTATGTATGTATGTATGTATGTATGTATGTATGTATGTATGTATGTATGTAGTCGTTGATTGATAGTTTTGAATTGCAAGAATTCACACCCTTTCACAAAGAAATCCGAAATTTTACCTATGAAATATCTGTAAAACAATTAGGAATTCCAACGACCTGTCAAACAATAGGTGCCAGTGGGAAATTCTTGTTTATCTAGGAGGTAGAGACATAGTCTTGCATCTCGAAATAGAAGTCGCCAAGCCTGCCATTTTATGAAGAAATGTATAAGCGGGTTTTTTAAATATAATTTTTATTGTGTTTGACATAAAATATTTAAATATAATCCATTAGTCATGATTTTACGTATAGAATACATCGTATGTCGCAACCCTTAGATATGCCAAACCTTCCTACTGACAATTCATTTGTTTGGAATGCCAAACATTATATTATTAAATGATTAGTCTATTTGGCACTGCATGGGCAGCCCAAAACCAAAATTCTATTCTTGGTATAATAACATTTCATAAAAAAACATGCATTTGATATTTTCCTGGGAATGCTTCTGTCTCTTCTTTAGATTGCCCTTATATCAATTATCTCTTGTGGTATGACTGTTCAATGAATTACTTTATCATTTTTTTTATCTAGGCATTCATCTTTGGGCAGAACCTTTGGCCGAGACAGACCTACTGTAACAAAATCCACAGTAGGTAGCAGCTTTGGAGTTCCATGGAGACGAAGCGTCAGTCGCGATTTAGCTACTGACATAGACAGCGTGTTCAAAAATCCGAACCCAGCTCCTTCTCCCCGCCCAACAGGTAAGATTCATGTGCTCAGGTCATGATTTTTTCGTGCTACTTGTTGACGAAAGTCATGTTGAGGTTTCAACGAAGGTGCAAAATGGAGACAACATATTTTTTTTAATCAATTTTTTTTGTGGCTTATTGGCTGTCATTGTGTAAGTAGTCAATATAATTATGTAAATATATGGATCCTTCGCACTTAATTTGTTAATACTGTTTAATTATCTTTTCGTGAATTAATAATTGTCTATGATAATAGAAAGTGCTATATACCTTGGATAACGTCTTTTCTCTACCTTTTGTTTCTTATTTTTATAAAAATATTAGTTAACATTTTGTACTTTCTTGAGACCTAGTCTAAATTTATGAAAAGTATTGTGAAGTAGAATATTTTTACATTTTTTTGTGCTAGTGGTAGTTTGTAGGGTATTTTTCCTGCAACCCGGTAAATTTATTTAAAGGATGATTATATTTTTTTATTTTTTACTTTTTTTTTAATGGTACATTGTATGAGATTTATAAATAGATAATATGCAGGTTGGTGCAAATTTGAATAATCTACTACAGATATAATAGTATCTTATAGCATTTTCGATTCCAGTGCTTGGCTTGCTCTGAGAGCATACGAAAGGTAGGAGATATGTCAATACCAGTTACTTTTCACTCTAAAAAGCAACAGGTATCGATATATCACTCATCTTTTATGTGTACTCCCCGCAGGAATGGCAGTTGAATCGAAAAGCTATTTCTAGTTACAATGGAAAACGTGTCAATATTATTTTATATTACAACATATTCTTTATTCAAAGCTATTCCAATAGTAAAAAATCGACAATCTACAAATTCTATCAAGTATTACAGTGAAAATTAAGTTTTTGTTTTTACTTTTATTTATTTTAGTTGTGATTACTTGATGTAACAAATTGTTATTTATTTTACGAATTTTAGTAAAATGTATCTATTTTTTTATTATTTTATGTTATATCCTCACCATGTGGACATAAGAAACAAAATACAAACTGTGAACGTACCTGATAAGGACAAATTGCGTACTCTAAAGGCCTGTCTGTAGGGGTGCAGGAGTATTAGAGTACTAGTACAATCCATAACCTACATAGACAACGAGGCTGATGACCTAAGTTGTCAAAGCCAAAAACACCAATAAAAAAAAATAATAAATTATGAAATGGGTCGTTTGGCAATAAATGCTTTACTGTCATCCCATATTGTTAGGACAATGTTCGTTTGGTAAGGAGTCCAATGATTTGTTTCGACAAGACAAAATGAATCGTTTAGTCTGCCTTTGGTCCATAGTAGACCTCCAGAAGGTCTTTTTGACATCTCAGTTAACAAACCTTGCCAATTAAATGGCTTTAGATATACTTTATATATAATTTTATTTTTTTTACTGTTCCCTGAGGAATTGTCTCAAAAGTTCGGCGGACAAATAGTGAACTAACCAAAAACGACATACGAGCTTGGTCTATTTAGTGTTGGAATGTTTAGAGAACGGATGTGTCTGTTATATTATATTTAGCCAATACTAAGAGCTAGTGGTTGGCCCTATCAATAGTTTCCTATAATCTCAAGAGTTACTATCGATAGTATTATCGAAACTATACCAATGTTGCAAATAATACGGAATTAATGCATCCGGGAATCCCCCGTGATTGCATACGGGCATCATCAGGGATGTTTCTTTAATTTATTCACAAAGCAATACATGGCAGCATAAAAAGGAAGCAGAGATACAAGAAAACATCAAGCGACAGGAGGCATACTTGTGGTGGCGTGGGTATATGATAAAATTAGTTAGGCAACCTTTAAAACAGATTATGATCTAGTGCTAAATTGCAGAGTGCGTTCTTATAAATTTGGTGTATTTTTATTGTTAATTTTTTGAATCGAATTCCGTGAAAATGAATTTGAAAAATACTAAAAACATGCGAGTTTAAACTATCAATGATTTCTTAAATTAATCGATAGTTTTCGATAGTAACAAACGATCGATAATATTGAGAGTACTATCGATAGTATCCGACTACTACTGAGAGCCATGTAGCCTCCCCTACCTCGACCTCATATCTGTTGTGGATAGCCTTTGATCATTGGTTAGAGTACTTTGTCTGGTTTTGTATTTTCTAGTAAACTCCACTAACTTTCCGGTGTAACGATTTGCCTAATTATGAGAAATCTTAGTTTTGATAGACCTTCGAGTTACACAATATGTGTACTCCAGTTTCTTCCTCTTTCTGACTTAAGGCCTCTTCTGCCAGTCCCATGTTATGCATATGTCTGTTAAGCTTACGATGCCCTGTTAATAGAACTACTAATACTCTAGTCAATGGTCCTTTTATGAACTGTCTGGCTTGTCTCTTGTCGCCACATAACCTTCCCTCCAAAAGAGAAATTAAATCCATATAAACTAATATACGTTAACCATAACTTATTGGGTTTAAAACAAAAGCAACCTTTTTAACTGGTTTCGAAATATTGTGAACATCATATTCTGCTAATACAAAGGCTGGCTTCAACCTATCTATATTAATTATTAACTCTTTCCCATTATTTAAAATTTTAAAAACTTTATCGTCTCTACTAACGACTTTATAAGGCCCTTCAAATAGGAGGGTTAATGTAGGTTCAATACCCTGAGCTTTACCAAAAGCGAAATAATTTTTTATCAGATCTGGTGAAATAAAAGTTTTTGGCATGCCGTGTCTAGTTACATTAGTGGGTTTAATATTATCTAAATGTTCTTGCAGTTACATTAAAAATGAATCAGTATCAAAATTTTCTGTATAAAAAATTCTCCTGGTAATTTTAAAGTTTGTCCGTAGACTAATTCGGCGGAAGAACACTTCATCTCTGTCCTGGTGAATTGTTCTATAATTCTTGAGATTACTTTTTGTGTTTTGATGGCTGAGTTTATGACACCACTGAAGGGGTTTGAGTCAAAAAGACCCTTTGATGCCTCTTCATTGCCTATAGTATGTACTCTGCGGTCTGAATCCCAGGCTAATGTTATTTGTTTTGGCTATCCAGCTCTGTTAGAGCTTCCAAGCAGTCCCACACAAGCTTTGAGTGTATCTGCATGAAACTCAGTGCTTTTAACGTCACTGGACTGTCGAAGTATATGAAAATAATCTTTATATTTACCCTATATCCTTTACTGACGCATGTTTACCTATGCTTAGTGTGATTCTTGTCTCTAGCTTGGCACTAGAATGTACCTGTTAGTAAAATGTTGTTTGATTCAATGTAAGAGCCATCCAAGTCGTTTTTGGATAAGACATACTTTGAAAAGACCAGAGAAGATTTTGAAAAGACCAGGAAAAAAAATTGAAAAGACCAGGAAAAGATTTTGAACGTTTATTATCGAATTTTAAAGAAGTCCACATTGGATTGCAGAGTGAAATGCGATCTAGTTTCAAAAATAATGAACTGGACGACAGGATAAGGACTAGAAACAAAAAATCTTAAATAAGAAGACTGGGAATGGTGTATACACTGAACTTAAGGTGTATTTCTATCATTATTCGCCTCAAAAAATATTAAATTATCGACTTAGTAACCCTGGACCAATTATTGCGAATATATTTGGAATATTGGTTGCAACATTGGGAATTATGTGCAAGGATCATCGGCTGCAACCAGAGTTAGTAAAAAAATACCCTCTTGTCGGGAATTTTGGTTTTATTTCTAAAAGTCCACAATGGATTCCGATCTTATGTTATGTTGGGAATGGGGTGTTAATATACTGCGACCTAAAAAATCTATTGTGTCCCCTTTTGTCGCTAATGCAGCAAGGAAAGTCTCTCGATGCCTTTATTCTGGAGTGCTACACATTCAGTCAGAATGTCAATGGAGGTTTCGTCCTTATCCTTTTCCTCACAGAATCTGCACTCGCTATCTTCTACTTTGGAGTCGGCAATGCCCGGTAAGGATTCCTGTTAATGTGTAGTCTGTTCTTGGTTATGCAGATACAGGTTTCCGATCTTTTCTGGTTATATTCACCCAGAAGTATCTTGACCTGTCTTAGCCCCCCAAGAGATTGTTCTAATTATCAGTTCTACTGTCCAATTCGTTTTTAATCACTCCTAATATTGTCTCACAAAGGGTATTTGAGTCCCTTTCCTTGCGAGACTATCTTATGTCCCGGGACCCAAGTAAACGCAACTGTATTTTCCTCATTTTTCTAGGCATCTTCAAACCATTTTTGAGCTGATTACGTAAGAGCTCAACACTTTGATAGCTTCTGTTCTGATGGCTTCTCCATTGTTTTTAATACAAAGCATGTGAGGTTGATTGGTCAGAAGGATTTCGATCTTAAAACAATTGCAAAGTTTGTGAAATGTTCGGCGTTAGTCGCCGAAGGAAAAAGTTTGGTTTTGTTTGTTATATGTTCGTTTGGTGTGGACCAGGCATTATAATACTCATGAATTCAGAAAAATAAACAATTCCATTACCAAATTGATTAGAATTGAACCATTAATTTAAAGTGTTATATATGATCATAGTACAATTAAAAAAATATGTTATTTTATTACATAATAGCATAGAAGTATCACCCATTTGACAAACTTATAAAATTCCTGTAGTGAATTACTGAAACTTGTATCAGTTTAAAGATAATTCAGGACAATTCGGGAAAAATACTGAAAATTAAAAAGTTGCAACAAAAATGAAAATGTACTTTTTTGAAATATTTTAATTTTGAGTTTTTTCAACTTCATGTTATCTAATCCAATTTTTACAGTGTACCAAATATACTTTTTTTTTTGTTAATTTTTCATATTTATTTCAGAATTTTCCTGATTATTTAGTTTGTTTAACTTTGGTAATATAGTATTAATAGATAATAAGTTGATTTTACTTGTTACGGTTATTGACATAATTAAATAAAATGCACGTATTCTGATGTATTAATTTAAATCGCCAGTGATGTTTAAACAATGTAGACAACATTGTAGTCGTGAACATTTTTTAAAAACGCTAGAAAATATTTTAGCAAG